TTCCACAACCCCACTACGATGGAAGATACCAGCTCTTCAACTACACCAACGACTTGGGTTGTAACCAGCACCTCTACACTGACCTCCGCTACTAGTACAATAACAGAAGTCCAGATTACTTTCGGAAATTTAACAACCGAGCAGACTGAGTTATCGGCAACCAGCACGATGGAAGGTACCAGTTTTTGGTCAGCAGCGACAACTTGGATTTTGACTAGCACTTCGACAGTGGGTCCTGAGATTAGTACAACAGCTGAAACTCAGACAACTTCCGAAAGTCAGATAGTAGAACCGACAGAGTTACTGACGTCGAGCACGACAGGAAGTAGCACATATTCACCAACAGCGACAACTTGGATTGTGACCAGCACGTGGACAGTAGCCTCTGTCACTATTGCAACAACAGAACGTCAGACGAGTGTTGATAGTGAGACAGCAGCACAAACCGAGTTGCCGACCGCGAGCACGACAGAGAGTAGCAGTTCTTTACCGACGGTGACAAGTTGGACTGTAACCAGCTCTTCTACAGTGTCGTCTTTCGCTAGTACAACAGCAGAAGCTGAGACTACATCGGAGAGTCTGACAAAGCATGAAACTGAAGTAGTGACCATTGCTATGACGGGAAGCACTGCTTCTCCTACTACAACAAGTGCTATGACGATGATTGACACGTCTACATCAACGTTTTCTACTAGTACCATAACGGAAGCTGACAGGACTCCGGAAAATCTAACCATCCAGCAAACTGAAATCGCGAGCACTGCTATGAGGGAAACTGCTGCTTCTTCTAATACAATGACTACTATGATGACGAGTGACATTTCTACATCTAGCCCTACTGCTAGTGTGACAGCAGAAAGTGAGAGTAGTTTAGTTACCACAGCTACCAACATGTCCAATACCATATCAACTTTCGTAAGTTCAATAGCACAGCAAACTACGATCTCTTCATCACCCACATCGATGTCAATCAATACAACACAAAGCGTAACATCGCTTATATCAATTTCGACATTTCAAACGGAAACAACGACGTTCACCACTACTACGGGGACTACAACCACCACAACCTCAGCAACATCGGCATCCACAACCACTACGGAGACTACAACCACGACAACCACAGCGACCTCCACATCAACAACCACTACGGAGACTACAACCACGACAACCACAGCGACCTCCTCATCAACAACCACTACGGAGACTACAACCACGACAACATCAGTAACCTCCTCATCAACAACCACTACGAAGACTACAACCACGACAACCACAGCGACCTCCACATCAACAACCACTACG